GGGGGGGGGATGATCAGGCAAGGGGCACAACGGAGGAGATTGCCACCCCCCGGCGAGGGGGGGACAGCCTCGCACTGCCTCCCCAGATCCCTCCCCCGGCGGTGACCGCGGCCGACCGCGCCCCGGGATGGGGGCGCGCACACGCGGGATTCACGAACGCAATAGCCGCCCCCCGCGTCCCCCCTTCCGCCCCCGCTCCCTCCTCGGCTTCCCCGGTCGCCCCGGCCCGTGATGCGGGCCCCGCCGGAAAGCCGCCCGGACCCGACCAGGGCGCGGGGGGAGGAAGGCGGCAGCGCCGCCAGGGAGCACGTGTGTCCCCTGGCAGCCGGAGGCCAACGCACGGCCCGGTGCCGCGGGAGCCATTGCGCGCGCGATGGCCTCGACAAGGAGCCGGCGATCTGGCTGATCACATGGGGGTTTATTGTGCCAACGATCAAGTCGCGGCGCCGGCGGCTCACGGGTCCTCCGGGCCGTCCGCCGGGAGGGCCGGGGCGTGCTGCAGGGGGAGGTGGTGCCCGGCCGGCGGTAGCCCGGGCCCGGCATGGTCGTCCTCGGAGGAGGTGACGAAGGCCAGGTCCAGGACGTCCTCGCCGGCGGTGGCCACCTCGATCAGTGTGGCCAGCCAGCCGGCCGGGCCGTCCATGTTGAAATCCACCGAGGGGGATGCCCCGGGCGAGGGGGGAACCGGATCGCCCGGGTCCTCGGCCGCGATCGCGGCATCGGCCTCCTCATGGTCGGTGTCATCGCTGTCGGCCAGGGCACCGGGATCCTCCGGGTGGAGGAGCTCCCGCGACATTGACCGAGTCACCGCCTCCGAGGTGGGGAGACCCGTGCGGCGACGCCGGCGCCGGGTCCCGGGCACACAGGCACACCCGCCGGCTGGCGCGGCCGAGCACAGGCGACAGGGCGGCCGTGACCGCGCGCCACCGGTGGGCTCCGAGGCGGCATCGGCCGCCTCCGGGTGCGGGGATGCCGGCGAGCTGTCGCCCTCGGAAGAGGCGTCCGATCCGTCGATGATGTCCAGCTCACGCAGGGCCGACTCGAGGGCGAGGCCGAGCCAAGACACGCGCTGTGAAGGCGAGGGCGCGGGGATCGGCCCATGCCCGGCGATCCGGCGAAAGACCCCGCGACGAAGCAGGAGGGCCCGGGCGTTCGAGGGTGAGCGAGAAAATACACGCAACCGGGAGGGCGAGAGCAAAGCCCAGTCGTGGCGACGAGGCGGAAGCGGAGGCGGGGCCGGGAGGGGGAGGGGAGGGGGGAGCACCGAGCAGGAGATCACAACGCACAATCGACTCCCAGAGGGTCTCATCATCAGACGGCTGGGGGGTCATCCTTGGGGGGAGGGGGGACCCCCCCCCGCCCCCCCCCCCCCCCCCCCCCCCCCCCCCCCCCCCCCCCCCCCCCCCCCCCCCCCCCCCCCCCCCCCCCCCCCCCCCCCCCCCCCCCCCCCCCCCCCCCCCGGCGTCGTGGCGGGCCCCGCGGCGGGGCCATTTTCATGTGCACACACCCTCGGGGGCGGCGAAAACAGCCCCGGCTCTCACGCCGGTAGAAATGACAGGGCCGCGGGTGCCAATGCTCGCACCGCGATCGGCCACAGCACAGATCTCCCGCCTCCTGACTGCACGCGCCATCGTCGTCCCCTCCCCCCCCGCCCCCCCCCCCCGCACTGCGTCTCTCGCCGCCCCTCCTCCCTCCGTCGCTCCCTCCCTCCCTCCCTCCCTCCCTGCGCCCACCTCGCCCCCTTGGCCTCGCCTGCCGGCCCCGCCCGCTCCCCCTCAGCCCAGCCAGCAGACAAGATGCAGCAAGCCTCGCTGCTCGGCCGAATCACCTCCACTGAACTGCTGCCCCTCCTCCGACAGTATGCCGCAGCCACGTCGGCCGCCGGCGTCGAAGCCTTCCACACCAGCAAGGGAGCCCATGGTACCTCGAGGGATCGCCTCGCCGCGCTGTCCTCCCCTGCCGCCTGGCCGGAGATCTCGCCCCCCGCCCACCGGCCGTGGCCGGCACTGACACACATTCCTCGCCCCCCCCCCCCTCTCCAGGCGTCATCACGCTGATCGGCGGGTCGACCAGCTTCGCCGGGGCACCCTTTTTCGCCGGGATCTCCGCCCTTCGCTCGGTATCCCCCTCCTTGGCACCTATGCGTGTGGACGATGGACAGGCTCGCCGCTAACGTGTCCAAACGCCCGAACGCCCTGTCGCCCCCCCCCCCCCCCCGGCGTCCCTCTGCCTTCCCCCAGGGCGCGGACATGGCCCATGTCATCACGGAGCGCAGCGCGGCCGCCGCCGTGAAGGTCCTCTCGCCCGAGCTCATGGTGCATCCCTACCTGCCCACCGGGGACCTGGAGGACCCGGACCACGAGGGCCAGGCGCCAGAGCTGTCCGCCAGCAAGATCGCCGCCCTGGCGGCCAAATGCGTCCGACGCTCCGAGCACTGGCTCCAAAGCAGCCACGCGTTGGTCATCGGTCCGGGGCTTGGCCGGGCGCCGGTGTCGCTGGCCACGGCCGATGCCTTCCTCCAGGCCGCCGCTGACCTGGACATCCCGGTGGTCGTGGACGCGGTGCGTGGCAGCGCCGCGATCCTCCCTCGCCGCCCACCTGACGCAAACCACTGACAATGGGCTCCCTGGCGGCTGCCTCGCCCCTCGCGCCCGCCCTGCCGGCGCCCGCACGTATGCCCCGCTGGGCCGGTCAGGATGCGCTCGGGCTCTTTGCCGACCCCGAGCGCACGTCCAACCAGTGTCTGATCCTCACGCCCAACCGCAAGGAGCTCCTTCGGCTGCTGGGCGACGCGGTGACGGTGCGCCCCTCCCCCGCCATGACCGCCGCCGGGCGGCCTTTACAGGCCGGTTTTGCGGCTCGGCTCGCCCCTCTGACCCCCCCCCCCTCCCCATCCCGCCCCTCCCCCGGGCGCGACCCGGATGTAGGATGCCCTCCGGCCCGTGGTGACTGACGCCCGGCTGGTTGACCTGTCGAATGCCGACATCCAGGGCCTCTTCAGGGACCTCTCTCGGCGCTTCCCCCGGTCTCTGGTCGTGGCCAAGGGCCGTCATGATATGATCATCCAGCTGACCGGCACCGAGCCGGAGGTTTTCTGGTGCAGCACCGGCCTCGGGTCGCCCAGACGCGTTGGCGGCCAGGGCGACCTGCTGGCAGGGGTGCTGGCGGCCCATGCGGCCCGGCTGCACCTGGTGAACTCAATCAACACGCCCCTGCTTCCGGCGGCCGCGGCATTGGCGGTCGAGCTGTGTCGCGATGCGGCGGCCGAGGCCTTCGCCAGCGCCGGGCGCGCCATCGGCGTGCCGGACATCCTCCCCCGCGTCGGGCCCTGCCATGATGCTCTCTTTGGCCAACTGGCCGAAAAGCATTCCCGCTGACCGGCGCCGCCCGGTGCTTCGGCGGGGCCCGGCTCCCCTGGGGGGGGGGCCTCCTCGGGAGCCGGCCCCCGCAGGCGCAAAAGCGAGCGCCGGCCTACCAATGACACGCAGAAGGCCCGAGAACAATGGCCTGTGCTCGATTGAAAGAATGTGGTCTATTTCTCGCGGGACATTTCAGGCACCCGTGTTCTCGGGCACACAGCACGGGGGCGAGAGTGCGGGCGACAATATGGGCCGGCCGGCCGGCCGGCCGGCGAGCAGAGGGTGGACACGGGAGAGGCAAAGAGAAGCACGACACAATGCTCCTGCGGGCGAGGCGCAGGGCCAAGAGAGAGAGAGGGAGAGAGGGAGAGGGAACACTCCTTCTCCCGCCTGTGACACCGTCTTGGCCGGCTGGCCCCCGGGGGTGCGGGGTGTCCTCCTGTCGAGCCGGGGGCACGCTCGCATATGTGTACACGAGAGAAGGGAGGAGGCGGAGAGCCGGAGCGGAGTGGCTCTTGGTCTCTCCCATTTCCAGCCCACCCCTCACACGTCCGACACAGCTGGCACGAGTGCCCCGGCCGGTGGTCCTGGCGCGCGTCCCCCCCCCCCCGGAGGCGGGCGGGGAACCGAGCCGCCCCTCCTCGGTCAAGCGGGGCAGCTTGTCGGGGTGTCTCGCGCCAAGAGGGCGTTGGAAGTGCCATGCCTCTTCTCGGCCGCGCCCGCGCCCGCGCCCGCCCCCTGGGCGCCTGTCGCGCCGGACGGCCCCTCATCTGAAACATTGGGCGGCGGCGGTTTTGTCGTTCCCAGTGCGCAAGGGGAGTCCACCGACCGGGGGTGTCTGGGCCAGTGCGGCGACTGCCAGCGGTGGTTTTGCAACGGCGCATGGTCACTCTACCAAGAGAGCCACCTCGTTTGGCAGATGGGCGTGAAGAAGGTGCGTTGCGGTTTCAAATACCCAGGGCTGGGATTCGCGCCAGCTGGCCCGCGACCACGGTGACTGGAGTTCAGACGTGTGCCCCCCCCCCCCCCCCTGCCCGCAGCAGTGCGCAGCCCCACTACTGAGAGGTGGCCGTGGTGCGGTACTTCTCCAGCAGCACCAGCCCCGGGGACCGAGGGGCCGGGGGCTGGTACACCGGGAACCGGGTGCGGAACTTCGACAGGTCGGTGATTTCCTCGCCCAGCGCCGACACCGAGGGGTCCTCCTCCGGCTCGACATACGCATCAGCCAGCGTCGGGGAGGTGGTCGATGCTCCGGTCGACGAGGGAACGGAGCTGTGGGCGGCCTCGACGGGCGCCTCGTCGCCATCGGCACGCGGGCTGGCCAGGTCGCCGGAGGTGGAGGAGGTCGGCGTGGCCACCACCGGGACCGGGTCCACATGGCTGACCATGGCGATGGTCAACGAGCTGGAGGAGTCGGCCTCCACGACGTTGGTGCGGAAGAGAGAGGTCACCTCCTCCTTGGTGACCGAGTCAAGAGCCGCAAGGAGGTGATCGACTGCGAGGCGGCAGGGGGCGTGGAGCGATGTCAGAGGCGGAAGGCCGAAAAGCGAGAGGCACCGTGGCAGGGTATCCTGGCGTAGATCCCCCCCCTCACGCGGCCATCCCCGCTTTGTGCATCAAGGGCAGGGAAAGGGATGGCACAGGGAGCATAGCTGGGGCAAGAAGGAAAAGGAGGAGGAAGAAGAAGCCAACGGGGCTGCCTGCCCGCGAGGGAGGGGTGCGAGGCACAGAGGCACAGAAACACCCGAGGCGCGCGCGCGCGAGAAGGCAGGCAGGCAGGCAGGCAGGCAACCGGGCGGGCGGGCGGGCGGGCGGGCGGGCGACAGACAGACGGACAGACAGACACACACACACACACACTGACATACATACACACACACACACACTGACATACACCCACACTGACATACACACACACATACACACTGACATACACACACACACTGACACACACACACACACACACACACACACACACACACACACTGACACACACGCGCACGCACCCTGGTCGAAGAAGGTGTGCCCCGCGACGATGGAGCTCCACCAGCGGGCGGCCTCCTGGCCGAGGCGCTTGTCCTTCTCGGCCACCAGGGCCTTAACCGCGTCGACGTATGCCTGGAAGGACTCATCCGAGAGGGTCTCAAACTCCGTGACCAGGGCCCGGCGCATGAAGGCACGCACCCGGGACCCGATGTAGCCCGGGGTCCGGACGGCGCTCTGCACCAGGATCTTCAGCCCGGCCGAGCCAGACCCAAAGGACACATCCGAGTGCACCACATACCCCAGCTGCTCCTTGGTGCGGAGCTGGTTGAAGGCCGGCGACTTGATGATCTGCGCGATGACCAGGATGGCCGCTCGCAGCCGGAGCGACTGGTCATCCGTGCTGGAGGGCCCGAAATTGTAGGTGGTCAGCAGGGCCGAGTTGGTCTCGGACTTGTCGGCCAGCGGCTGCAGCAGCGCATAGTGCGCGGCCTTGGGCAGGATGAGCTGCGTGCGGGCCGGCGGCCGGGGGTACGCCTCCCCGGCGTCCGGGGCACCGGCATTCACCGACAGCAACTTGTCCTCCACCAGCTTGGCCATGGCCACCGCCGACTGGGAGCCCGAGTCGGAGACGGAAATCCCAAGGGGGGGGGGGGGGGGAAGGGGCAGTCACCCATTATGGGCAGAGGTTAGACCGCTGACGGAAACCCACATGGCGCCCAGGGGGCCCTCTCGCCCGGCGGCAGCGGGGAAAACATGGCATACGCGGCACAGGGCACGGGATATGGACCACCACAGGGGGGTGGGGGTGGCGGCGACGCACCTCGGTCGAATGGTTGCCGATGATCAGCCCGTCAATGCAGAAGGTCTTCAGCAGCTGCGGCAGGAGGGACGAGATGAACTCGAAGGTGATGCCCGGCTCAGTGAGGTCCACCTCGCTGGGGATGTTGCTCTCCACGGCGCGGTACTCCTCGCCGCCGATGAGGGCCGCGCGCAGCTGGTGGTCGCTGAACTGGATCTTGTGCAGAGCGCGCGAGGTCTCCCGGAAGGCCAGCATGTACGGGTGGGTGCGGCTGGCATTGATGAGCGCCCGGTTGAGGCGCTCCTTGAGGACGACAAAGCGCTCGGGGTTGATCTTGAAGTTGACAATCCGGTCGAGGATCGACTCCAGGAAGACCAGCTGCCGGTCGTTGTAGCCCGAGAGGTTGAGCTACGGCCACCAAGAGGGCGCGCGCAAGTGGCGGCGGAGAGACCCGGCCAAGAGAGTGGGTCAGGCCGAGCGAGGGAACGCAAGCACCCTTGCCCGTGCACGTGTGCGCGCGCGCGCGCGCGCAAGATGCCCTTGGGGGGAAAACGGAAAAAAGGGCACACATACCTCCAGGAAGTCCAGCTTGTTGTCGAACTTGTAGTCCAGGCCTGCCAGGGAGGCGCTGTACGAGAAGGTGGTCAGATCATCGCGGATCAGCTGCGTCAGCAGCGACGTGGCCACGGCAAAGCGCGGGGTCGCATAGTTCAGCGGCCTAGATGATCAGGGGGGGGGGCGGGTGACAGCCGGGGTGAGGGGGGACGGTGTGCGAGAGGAGGATGAGTTAACAAGCAAAGGGCAGTGCAAGCATGTGTGCGTGCGTGCGTGCGTGCGTGCGTGCGTGCGTGCGTGCGTGCGTGCATGCGTGCATGCGTGCATGTGTCGCCGTGCACAAGGTCGGCGCAGGTGCAAGAGGCTGACATCGACGCACGTGCGGATCATGAAGCTCGCCGAGGCCTTCGGAATGTTGAAGGTGTTATCCTTCTTGTACCAGAGCCGGTTGCGTGGCGTGTCCAGCACCAGGGTCGGGTACATGGTCATCTCCTGCTCCGGGAACCAGGAGCACAGACCGGTTGGAGAGCGAGTGTGCGTGGGTGGGTATGTGTGCGTGTGTGTGTGTGAGAGAGAGAGAGAAAGAGACAGAGAGCGGTCGGAGTAGGCGGGAGACAGGGCCAAAGAGGGCACACGCGGGCGGCAGGGATGCGAAACGCACACTGCTGGTCGTCGGCTCGAGGATGTCGAAGTTGGTCGGGATGAATGCATTCGGCTCCGGCAGCGCGAGCCCAGGGTTGGGAGTGGTGGACTCCAGGCGCTGTGTGGCGCGCGCGCGTGCACGGCCAACAAGAAAAGCACAACCAAAGGAACAGGTGAGCCAAAGGGAACCGGCCATGGGGAGGCGGGGCGAGAAGTGGCAAGGGACACATATGTGTGCGCGTACAGCAAGCAGGCTCTCCGAGAAGGGCTCAACCGAGTGCTGGGTACCGTACCAGCGCTCCTTGTGCCAGGTGCCGGGACCCACGGGCGTCGGGGTGGAGGTGCCACTGGTGCCCTCGGACTCCGAGGCCGACAGGGCGGCGCTCGCCTCATCGGCGAAGTCCGAGCTGACCAGGAAGATGATGGCCTTCCGGGGGGACAGCGACTCCAGGGCGCGAGTGATGAGCTCCGGGTCATAGGCCTTGTGGATGTAGGGGCCAGCGACCACATCCTCCGGCTGGTAGATTTGCATGCCGGAGGTAGTGGCAATCGCGTGAGACATCGGGTTCTGCGGCTCGAGGAACTTGAACTGCATGTCGGCCAGGAGCTTGTTCTGCGCGCGCGCGCGCGTGTGTGTGTGTGTGTGTGTGTGTGTGTGTGTGTGTGTGTGTGTGTGTGTGTGTGTGTGTGTGTGCGTGCGTGCATGCGTGCGTGCGTGCGCGCGTGGAGATCATCCGGTTGGTCATGTCGGGGTTAGTCAATGCATGGGAGAAAGGGGGGACCACGCCATCAGGCAGCACGAACCTCATCCCAAATCCAGGCCTGCGGGCCGGAGCGCTGCAGCAACGACACATAGTCAAAGATGATCCCGGCCACCTCGTCGGCATTCTCTACATGCACGGGCCCCCTCCCCGGGAGCGTGGTCAGTGCTGAGAAGCCAGTGCAATGGCGAAAGAATGATGGGCGGGGCAGGACGGGGAGCGAATGCCCAGGAGAGGCGCACCGAGACCCGAGGGAGTGAGCTCAATGCTCATGCTCAGAATGTCGAAAGAGCTGCTGGAGCTGCTGGAGCCAGAGCTCAGGCTGGTGGCATAACCTATACGGGGGATGGGCGGGGAGGGGAGAGGGGGACGGAGGCGATGGGGCAGGCAGATCACATCACAACACAGTACAACACAGCAGAGTTAGCGTCCAGTGCGATTGTCGTGCAGAAGGGAAGACAGGTGACAGAAGAGACAGCGAGAGAGAGAGAGAGAGAGGGAGGGAGGGAGGGAGGGAGGGAGGGAGGGAGGGAGAGAGGGAGAGAGGAAGACAAATGTCGTGCAAAGGAAGGACGCACCCTTCTCCATGAGCAGAGCCAGCGCACTGCCGGGGCCCTCGTGGCCAAGCAGGTGGGAGATGTACCACGAATGCCGGGCACCATAGTTCTCGGCCGTGGTGGGCGGGAAGGTGGGCCAGTTGATGCGCATGGTGCGCTGGTCATTGACCGGCACAACACGAACCTTACGCTGGGCGTTGACGTGGGGACGCGCGACCGGTCAGAGAGAGGATGACCCGAGCGCCGGCGGGGG